TTTATATTACTGCATATTGCTTTTAATAATATGAAATGTTTGGTTTGATACATATTATTGCAATTGTTATTCTAACGTAAAAGTATATTATTAAAGACATCACTCAACTATAATTTGTATAAGAAAGTTGACATAAGAAAAACAAAAGCAGGGCGTTTTGTTTATTAATTCCCTTAATGGACATATTAAGCAATTCGTTTGTCATCTATGATCACAACATGTTTATGGAAATAGCGTTTGGTTCCAAAGAAAGGGCTGTGCAATGGACAGGATTCGTTATTAATGATTGTATACTATCATTTATTTCCGTTGTGGTAAAACGAGAGTGAAATAAATAATTATTGATTATATCCATTCATAAGATGTCTTAGAGTTTCTAGAATTATTAATGAATATTAGAGCAATTTAAGTTGCGAAACGTGATAGCATTTGTAGAAACTAATCAATGTATGTTGAATGCCGTGCTATTTGTGTAATGTCGAGTAAATCCTTTAGTGGAATTTCGTCGTAGGTTGTTCAATGTACAATAGAAACGTGCGAGCGATTTGCAGTTCGTTGTGGCATCGAAGCGCCCACTGCAGACGACCCTAGATATCCTGGTCTCCTCTTTCGCATCCCCCGCGTTGGAATCTCACAGTCGAGTAACCTTCTTATATACCTCACGTCATTGTGGTTACTAAAATCTAGAGCTTCGCTTTGTCTAAGTTGTCAGAGAATTTGGGATACACACCATTATATCCCATGCAGCGGAATTCATGGCTAGATGCGTTTTGTTTGTTTGTCATATCAACCTCTTGCAACTCCTAAGACTCTACCGTGAGCTCCTTCTCCTCTTCATCCTTGACCTTCTTCTTCATATAATTTTTCCGCCTTTCTTCATGTCTCGTTCGTTAGGTATGCAAATATCACTTTAAGCCCATTGTCCGGAGGAGGGCACGGATCCAACGGCCTAACCTTTGTCATAATGTTGGGATTCGCCATCCATTCATGTCAACTAATATATTCCAATAAGCGTCGGAACTTGCGGCAAAGTTACGCAACTCGCAGCGATGTTTATAATTGATGTCATTAAATTCATGTCAAACATGGTACGGCGGTTTTGTGCGCGGGAGATTTGGATCTAAATAGATCAAAAACATTATGCCCACACAATGGGCTCACCCCACGCCGTTAAGTTGCTTCCTTCATAATTTGTTCGTCGTATCTCTTTGTCAGCGTCTCCCCAAAATCTTAACCCATTGAATTAAATGTTCATAATACAGTTGCCTGAAAATCTGATCATAATTCAGACTTAATTACTCTAAATAATTTCTCGCTATGATTACAAACTTGATTGTCATTATTTCAAACATTTTTTCAAAAATCCTTTCTTTTTATGTTTTCGTTTGATGGTTCTGTTCGTGAGCATTAAATTATATTAGAGAGCGAAGGATGGTTAGATGGAATCAGTAGACTGCAGAGCTAAAGATTATGTTGTATGTAACATAGGTAGTGCATGTGATGGGAAGCCGTCAAATGCAGACCTGTACGTATAAGTCGCCTGCCAGATCCTCATTAATAGCCCCGCTGTCGATGTATATTATACTGTTCACTCTAAATTACCGTGAATGAGAAGAAGCTGAACTTCCCTACGCCAATCCTTTCAAGATTTCAACATTTATTTTGCTTTGGATGTATTTTGAAATAATTTTATTAAAATTAAAGTAACATACAACCAGTATATTTAGTTTGCGCTTTGAAATGGATAAACCCTTAAAATCCCAAGCGCTTGTGACCGAAGCAGTCGAGTAAAAATTCAAGTAGCTACAGTGCGGTAAAACTGGGAAACACGAAAACTGGATGCGTTTGTATTTATATAGCGAAACTAAATCAATTTAGCATTAACTAAAACTAATTCTGATTTCACTCAAATGGAAATTCAAAGCATTTCCGAAATCAATAATAACCACCGCATGCAAAATACCGCTCAGAATAAATCTAATCCTAAACAAATTATTCGTTAACCGTTATTGTAAATGTTTAATTAAAAATTGATTTTTTTTTTAAATAAGTAATTATATGGGTATATTATACGCTAATATAATATAAGGACATAGAGATCATAAATCTATCTATCCTTAATCTATCTATTAGATAATTGTAATGATGAAGTATGGTGCACCTTAAGAGCAGTTACATTTTTTGAATGAGTAACTATTAAATCTATGGAGTTTTATCTGATTAAATATCGATGCAGTGTCCTTGGTTTTTCTATTTGTTTGCTTGTCAGCCGATCAATATATATTTGTGTGTATGTCTCTATGTGTGTATGTGTGTTGATAAATTGCAGCAACTTTTCGTTTTGAAACAGTTTGTCGGGGTTTTGGGAGGACGATTAGGATGTAGGGCACGGAACTCCCCTTCGCCGCGACGTCGTTCCCAGGGGCTCGCATGTCAATCCTGGCGACCGCGTCGGGATTACAACTCGCTAAGCCAGAGACCAGGTCTCTTCGGCTTCCATCTCATCTCTCTACTATACAGATTGCTTATTCGGGACGCGTCTTTCCAACCAACCAACCAATGTCCAATATACTCGCTTTTTTATCCCAGACCTGCACCCTTGTTACCCACACACGTAACTCGTGGATAAGTAGATTTTGATAAAAAAAAACAAAAATAAAGACTCTCAAATTCCTACCAGACATAGAAAATGCTAAAAGCATATTCAAACCTTTATGATCTCTGTATTTTTATCCTATTCTTACAACAATATACTTTCAAAACACATATCAAACCTTTAATGCTATTTATAAGATTAGTAGTAAAATTTCTATTCTATTCTGTAAGATTAAAAAAATAATATTCAGAAATGTTGATTAAATGAATTGGCTGTAGGTACTAGGTCATTGAAAGAATGTATTTTAAATGGCTAGTATTTACTTTTATGTTACAGTCGCACCCGTTTGTAGAGATGGCGATATGACGATCATCGGAGCTTCGCTGGACGAAGTATTACGTGTACAATGCCACGTGGCAGCGGACCCCAGCGACGTGACATTCGTGTGGCAGTTCAATAACAGCGGTGAAAGTTTTGACGTTTCTCCCGCAAGATTTGCCACAAACAGCGGCAATATCAGCGAACTAATGTACACCCCGGCATCGCAGAGGGATTACGGTACACTCACCTGTTGGGGCAAGAACACAATTGGAAGACAATCCGATCCTTGCGTCTTTCAAGTGGTCCCTGCCTGTAAGTCATTCTTCTTCTTTTTATAAATGGAAGTATATTTATTTATGTGTTTCTGTCTGTTTCATTTCTCTTTACAGCGAAACCAAGTCCTCTGACGAATTGTACACTTCGTGCAGCTGCTAATCACAGCTCAGATGCTCTGGAAGTTGAATGTCGCGCAGGCTATGACGGTGGCCTTCCACAACGCTTTGTTCTTGAAGCTTATGATCCTTTTACAATGCGGATGCGGCTTAATTTAACAACATCTAACTCAGAATATCCTATATTTCGACTGGAATTAAACGAGCTTCTTGTGGGCGAAGGTCTTCCGCCCACTTTGCGGATCGTCGTTTACGCACAGAACGCCAAAGGCAGGAGCGAAAAAATGGTTTTGGAGGATATTACTTTAAACGACGCTGAAAAACATACAGGTAAACTAATATAAATTTTAAAAATTTTCTGGAAACAACAGTAAAGTTGAAACGTTTAAATTTAGTGGCTTTCTGCTTGTAAAATGGATATAGATATATGGTGTTATAATGGCATCCATATATACCTAATAAATTACCATCGTATGTAATTCGGGCTCCAATTTAATGTAAGCCATAGTCTCAATTCTCTCAAAATGAATTTAATAAATGCTCGTAGAAACATCGCTGGATTAAATCCGTAACAGTACAAGTCGTATTTGGTATGCACGCACGTATCTCATCACATTATAAAGTTTATTGTGAAGTTAATGCGATTGCGTCCGCCGTCATTTGCCGTTTATTATGCAAGCAAACGTACTCAATATTGTTGTTGTGACTATAAAGATGTTGTAAAATATGCTCGTAATTAATTCCGCTGCGGTAGTGGCTATTAATTAATTATAACGATGCATAGATGACAATAATGGCAAATGATAATGGCGAATATTACAAACCCTCGTTTGCGGATAACAATAAAATGGGAAGAGCACTTTTTTTGTGGATCCTCAATACCATCTACGAAATGGGTCACTTTTAAACTATTGTTGAATGAATGTAATTATAAATGCTTGCATTGAATCGATCACTATCATCTTTATATGGTTAATTAAGAAAAATAAAGTTAAATAATTGTTTTTTAATTAGTTTACTACTATATAAATATATTTATAAATATATAAAGTAAATGAAATATTGGGTTGTCCGATGATTCTAATATTTTTAGACACCGCTAATTGTATTTGGCGAAAATATGCACGAAGTTTCCGACAACTCAAAATAAATTAGAAGTAATTATTTTAAGAAATTTAATGTTGAGGGTAATATAGTCTCAAACTGCATAATAATATTTTCGTATATTTGATCATATTTATTAATCTTTCAGATGGAACTGCAAATCTTAGCATTCTGCCTATAGCGGCATTATTGACAGGTTCTCTGCTGACACTTGGAATAGCCGTTCTATTGATAGTTGTGTTGGCTGTGAGACGTCGTCATAGACATTGTGCGGGTAATCATTGCAGTCATCAATTAGACCCGTCTAAGCAGCCGAAGATAACGCCTCAAACGTCCAGACCAGGATCAATGCTGGAGATCAACACGGGAGAGCATCGTTACGTCGTGGCTTACACCTTGAAGCCGGTGACCGATTGCGTCGTTGGACAATCATCAGCCACCGCAGAACACCAGCCTGACATCTTAAACACGCCAAGAAGTGAGTTGTTGAGCTTGTCGAGTTCACCATCTAACGTTTCGCAACCTATTGTCGTAGGTGCCGGAACCGCGACACCCCCGAGTGCCGGAGGCGCCCTTCCGCGTCCTGACGCCCTCTTCACCCCACCGGGAGACCACAATCGTCAGAGTCCCGCGTTTGCCAACTTCGTAAGTAACTCGTTGACGTGTACATTTAATTAAATAACTTTTCCCTTAATACCCTGTCCGCAGCATCTGCGCTCTCGACCATAACACCATTTAATGTTAATAATATAAAAATGTAATTTATAGTCGGAGGCGTCCCCCGAATTGATGGGCCAGACCAGTGCCACTACTTTGGGAAGGATAAGATCTCGGCCCAGGGATGGACCGTTTACCTCTTTTGCTACGATGAGGCGGGACCACATCATCGCAGATTCGATACCCGGACCAGAGAGTTGTGTCTAAAGAGATACATGATTACTTCGCGGTGCGCATAAAAGTCAACCTGTGATACAGGAGTGTAGATGCCAAGTTTAACTCAAATAACGGATACACATACAACATACATGAATAATGATAAAAAAATAGAGAAGGAAATTGATAAAAAAAAATACAATCAGACTCGAGCTTAACCGTAAGTTGTTAACTGTTTAGGAACTTTGGATGATAATAGTCAACGAAAGATTAAGATGAATATATATATATATAATATTTAGGCCTACAATATTAATAGTTGAGTGTATAATATTTATATATGTATACAAATGAAATACTATCTAATTAACTATATATACGTGCCCAGTACCAATCGTAACCTTACTTTCAAATCATCATTTTCTTTAGTAGACAATATGTTTTCCGCATACGTACTGAGCTCTCGTATACAATTACATAAGGATTAAATAATTAACATAATATTAAAGGAATTGCGACTGTCTCATATACATTAATGAATGTGGAACTAAATTTAATAATAAGAAATGTAATGTATATATTAGTATAAATTGTAAAAGCTTTATTGCTGTGCAATAACATTGTTCGATTAATCGTACTATTTTTGTTTTTGAACAAGAAATAATATAAAAATACAAATGTGCATGGATTAGGAAACTGACTGTAATCGCTTCATCTGTGTAAATAACTAACTGAACCAATTCAAAGTATTAAATAAATGCATGTCTTGAACCCCACATCCCCTAAAAGAAACAAAAAAAAAATAACAAAACTAAACTCTTGTTATCTGGTTTACAATTATTTCATCAACATTCTCCCAAATTCCGAACATGTAACAGCATGATCCATTTTTCATCGGGCTATTAAAAATTCATTATCATTCAGAATGTGGTATATTAATTGCGGAATCCCGTACTGTGGTATTGTCGGTATTCTATATCAGCGGTCGCCAACCTTTTTAACTTCACGGACCATCAAACTCAAAATATAGACCCCCCGAGGACCACAAAATTTGGAATCACTGGGACGACTACCATGATTTTTTTCCATGAAAATAAAATTCTAAAAATAAGGCAAAAATTGGAAAAAAATTAGAATCACAAAATAATTAAAATAAAAATTACATATACAAACCTCGGTTAACCAAAATTTCCGGATTTTTACTCGTATAGTGAAATCCACTGAATCTACTGAATATTCAAATTACTTTGCGGATCACCAAAGTTATCTAGCGAAACACTGGTAGACGACCGCTGTTCTGTAAGAATTTCGTGAATATTTCACAGTAGAAATAAATAAAAAGTTTATTTGCCTGAATTTGATGATCTTCCCTGTCCCTCTTGAATAATTTTCATTTCTTTGAATATTATTTTTTTTTAATCATTTAATAATTTCAAAAATTTTACAAAATATCAACTATAACAATATAATTTTTATCGGATTTATGGATTTGGATAAAATACCACAAAAATCATACCAAGTAAGTAATATGGTATTTTACATTTATTAATTATATATAATGAATATGCACTAAATCATTGTTGTTATTGTAATTTTTATTATTTATTTTTAAATTTTCAGTAATAAAATTTCTATTATAATTCAAATCACTTCGACTTGCATTGATATTATTTGTATTTCCTAAATTTATATAGCTTAGCTTTTTTTAATTTTCAACACCCAATAGTTTTTATTGATACTTTTATAGAAGTGAACAATATAAATGGGTATATTTTATCTTATTAATACTATTCTTTAAGATTTTACCTACAGTTAATAGCACGTAATAAGACCTGTATAACCAGTGGCGTATCAACAAGTAAATGGATCTGTGCAATAAACATCCTTTGACCAGTCAGCAATTGAAGGCTAATATCCACGAAGGAATAAGCCAAGAAACATTACGACAGGTTATGGTATACTATAGAAAGAAAGCCTCACTGTGATGATCAAAATACATACATACATACATCCAATACATTATTTTTTTTAAACGGAGGCGAAAATGATGTAACGTTCATGTCCTTATAATATTTTGAAATCTTCGCAATATTTTCAAAATGCCAGGTTTTATCATTTCATAGGAACTTGTTCATAATAAACATAACAGTATTATCAATAGCTGTATCATTTGAAATATATGCGTTCATGCTATTCACGAGATTTTTCATAAAAATACATAAATCGCTTGTACAGAGCGCTATTCGTTTCAACTCAATATCTGTTTTATAATCTTTTAAATGCATGATATTGTTTATACTTGCTGCAACAATTTTGTCAAAAACTTGAAAAGGTGATCTAACATCATCCTTTTATATTTTATTGGAGAAAATATGACGTCTTGTTAGGTCGGTTAAGTTGCATTCATTTTTCAGTTCAATTGTTATTATATGAGACCATTTTGCAATTTTGCGTTGATTCTTTAACTAGTACACCAAATCGTTGAAAACTAAGTAATCACTAAAACTAGTCAATAACTTATCCGTATCAAAGACTGGTACTATTTTATTGTCGCCAATTAATAATATACCCTTTTTATCATTCTGTAGTATTCTTATGGCTCTAAGATAGTCACCTCTGTGATGGCACACCGATAATTGGGACTTTCTATGAAATAGTAAGCAATCAGTATATGCCAATTACAGGAAATTCCTCTCAACCGCGATTCCTACCAGTGAATTACCGCCGTCGTCCTCGACGCCAACTAGGAATTCTCTGGCAAAATCATATAGTACGTGCAATGATACAGACTAATACACACACTCGGTCTTGCAATAGTCTTTTGCAAATCGTCTCCTATATATATTAATTACGTGGAGATGGATACCGATTCTCTTAACAAAATATATACAAATACACATTTTGTAAGTCCATAGAAATAATCTTTCCAATTAATATTATCATCACATCCAAATATTCGAACGGTCTTTAATTGATTAAATAAAAGTGCTTGCATAAGTTCACTAATTTTAACGAATGCTTTTAAAATTGTGTACGTCACTGCCATCTATGTCAATTCTTTTGAACTCCAGTTTTAACGACTCTGCAACCAAACTTACGTTTGCCAATAATGTTATCTATTCTTTTAATACATTGGCCAGTGATGTTCAGTGTCTAATACAAATCAATATGTTTATAATTAGCATACCATAGCGTGTTTTTTCTTCTCTTAATTTATACTTGTCTTACATTTTCTTTTGATTATATGATAAAATTATTATTATAAACTTTCACTGTTTCCAACAAAGTTTAACACGTGAAGGACGGCGCTTTTCGGGTTGCCTGCCCAAAGAAAATTTTCGTGGACGCCTATGGACTGAGTGAAACGTCAAATATCTACGTCAATTATAACCTTTAAACGTTTAAATTTTTCTTACACATATTTTAAAGGATGTTGTAGCAATTTATAACAATTGTGGGAAAAATATTGAAATTTTCATTCAATTCTACCTACCGCTGATCAGCTCCTAAGCTATCGAAACGAAGATATTGTAAAGGATGCCTAAATTATGTCATAATATCACGTATTATTCTAAATTTCTTCAAGAATTATTATAATATGTATAAAAAATGTATTGGCGTTTGAAGTTTGTAATTGACTTAAGATATTTGAGGTTATACTCAGTCAAAATCAGTGGCGTACATAGCATTGCCGTCGTCAATGTGTTAAAATAGTTTTTGATGAAAACAAATTATAAAATATGTTGATTTCAACATTTTGGTGCGGCTCCTTTTAGAGATAATTTGCAAACAATGAATTTGTTTAAATGTGATGACTTATTGAATTAATATTAAAGGTAAGCATCTGTTTTGAATAGTACACATTTCAATATTTCTATAAAGGGTAATACCAACTGGCGGATTAAGTATAGGGGACAAATTATATTCGGGGGCCGCTCAAAATATAATTATTTAAAACCCTATACTAAAATGTCTAGGCTTGATGATTAGGGCTTCTACACACTTGCCCTTCTTTTTATAGATAACGTTAGTTTGTTTGATAATTGGTAACATTAGTGTAACTAGCAAGTTGAAGATGTCGCTGCTTGCTCGATTTCATAATATTGTTATATAAACATATTTTAATTTAACTTTACAATAAAATACAGACGAATAGGAGTATGAAAAATTAAATATTTCTAATGTGATACCTTTTTTGTATGCAATTATAATTACGTCATATTTTTGTTCCAATAATGCAGGGTGGCCATGATCATGATAGCGATCACTGTTTTAGTAGAAATGTCAATCTCAAGAACAATTAAATTGGTCATTCCTGGAATAATGCATGAAATTAGGTTACATTATTATTGATATATTTGATTACTTTGTATATTTATTTGTTTATCCAAATATTGCATAGCAAACGGTATTAACTACTTGATCGAAGTAAACAAGTTTCCATAATGCGGCGAAATGTTAAATAGTATTAAGGTAAAACCTTGGAATAATTCGATACCCAAGACGGAAGCAGCCGGCGGATTGTTGCTAAACGTCACACAACATTCAGCACGTGCTGATTATTTGATTCTGGAAGGTTTCTAATTAAATTCAGTGGTGATAATCACATAGCGCGTCTTTCTTCCAAGGCGGACGCAGGTGGCGGAGGACCATTCGCAGTCTCCGGAGGATCCGACGTTGCTTCTAGACCGCTTCCAATCCCTAATTTCATTTCGTCGAGAAATATATGTAAACGCACACACGCGACGCTGATTCAGACAAGTTCCAAAATTAAATTTTAATTAGATTTAATTAATTAAAGGTCGGGCCACACTTCACCTAGCGCACCGCGAAGCTTCGCACGTAACTTCGTTGGAAACTTTGAACATTTTATTACAACGGGTTAAAATATCCACGTGAAAACTTTATAAGAAATAGCGCTGCAGCGCTGATCAAATGAGAGAAATCTAGTTCATTGTTATCAAGTTATCGTATATTATATTAAAATTGTTAATGGTTGTGCAAGTTATTCTTTATAAGAATATTCATTTTTTTTCGGGTGATTATGATAAAATAATTTTATACATTACTTTCTATTTTAAATATTTATTTATGGATCTTGAAAAATATAAGTTACATAGACAGAAAGTCATCGGTCGATAGACGTGGGATCTGAAAGTAAGTCTTTTTGTCGATTTGCAAGGAGGGCACGACGAGGAAGGAGAGAGGCCCCTTGTTTCGCAATTGAAAAGACGTGAACAATGGATCGAGCTGATTGCTCGGTTGACGATGTGCTGGCACAATAACGCCGAGGATTCTTAGGAAACGTTTTGAATGTGAAACCATCCAAGATAGTCGGAACAAAGTAATAATGTTTATTGTGAATCCTGGCTGAAGGCGATATTATTTTCCTATCTACACCAAGCATCTCTGTGCAGTCAGACGCCCCCTTTTAGAGCTCAGAAATCCCATTTTCTTTCGAACTATTTTCTTCAGAAGTGCATCCGATAATTATATTAATTGAACCGCTGCAATTTTAGTTTAATTGCTCAAAAGATCTTATTTGTTGTCATAAAAACTTAATTGTAAAGTAAAAAATAATTAAACATGGCTTAGTAGAGCATTAAAAGAATATATTTATTAATTTGTGCATGTGCTTGAAATTAATAATGTTTCACGAATGCAATGACTGCAGCATTTGAAGAGCAGCTTTTAGTGTAAGCAACAATCGAGAATAATCATTTCCGTTCAATTATTTTATTGAATTATATTAACGATCCCAGCTGACCAGATGAAATATTTTAAAAGTCTTGGATCTGCGATGGGTAAATACTTTGCAGGCGTCGACACAGAAGACCAGATTATCGATGTCAGACCGTTCAGATCGTTCTGGAGTGGTGCCGTGGCCCGAAATTGAATTTGATTACACGGTCCTGAACCAGATAAAACCAATCTGCCTTAGATGAATACCTCGCCCGCTCAGCACCAGGAAATTCCCTTATAAATCCCGCTTTAAATATTTGCCTCTACTTCAGAATCAAAAGGCTTTCTATCCTCCTCTTTCTGGAGAGAAGGATGGCGTGGGAATTCGAACGAGAGAAAAAAAAATGTGTACGATTAAATAAATCTATTTGCTCTTCGCGCGTAAATGGAACTGCACAGTTATAAAGAAAATGAAATCTTGAAAATGTTATTGAAAGAATTATTAATTGGATTTCAAGTTTTTTTTTTCACCATACACGAGGTAACTTTATATAGAGGTTACAATATATAGTTGATGAATTTCAATGTTTTGAACTTGATATATTCTGTACGAAACAAAATAGTGGCCTCATTCGGAGGTCTCATTTGATGAATTGCTTAAGTTCAGGGGGGAACCCGTCCTCTCTCTGTGTTTTATTGCTGTTTGTTCGGTTATCTCACGTAGTTGTTTCGCAGGTAACTGGGTCTTGGAAAGATATCCTCAACCCTAAAACTTCAGTTTTGAAATGGATACGTATGTATCCGTTTAAACAGTTTGCGAAGTCGTTTCAAAAGGCAGCACACAATGTCCCAATAGCAACAATCCATTCTATTTTATTCGCGCTTTCCATTCTACTTTACTACCAACAATCGGAGATAAACTTAATAAATCGAACAATAAAATATCATAACGAATTAAATTCAATTACATTGAGAAATTGAGGTTCTGCATAATACAAAACGATTTTAGTAGTAATTGAAAGTAATTATAATTGCAGTTATCAAAAAAAAAAGACTTAGAATCGCTTACTTGGTGATGATAACGTTCAATAGTAGTTTCTGAGGCGTCGTATTATATGTCGAAGGAGTCCTTATAACGCGATATCCTCGTGATCATATTGCTCACGTACATTCTTTCACGAATAAGTGGTTCGTAGCCGCCGCAACCATCATATTTACATACGTGATGCAATAAAACCCATCCCAACCATCCAACAATGTTCAGAGCTTTTGCTCGGTGTTTTATTTATTTATTTCTGCAGCATTTCCTAAAAACCATAACATTTCAAATCGAAGCTGTCGATACAGGGTTCTAAGCGAAATTAAAATATTCGGATCTCTAGATCAGGAACATTTTATTACGGTGAAAGGCGTGGACGGTTTAGGGCCAGAATGAAAGGACAATCGACGCTACTTCAAAGCCGTGAAAATTCGCTGCTTATTCGCAGTCTGTTTGATCTCCAGGTTGTTTTTTTTATTTTAGGATGGCCAAAAAGGATGAAAACGTTTACTAATTCTCTTTGACGGGAATCTTTGTTGTCAAATCTAATTGGAATTTAATTTATGAAATGATTATGTACTATATTATGTAATCATACGTAGTTTTTCTTTAGTATTCGAATAATTAAATCATGATTGCACTTATGAATATTGTTGATAAATATACATTGTTTATGTAAATAGCAACAAGTAAATATGTTCTATCGTAATAACAATTGTTGTCAAGTCTAGTATGTATAACAAAATTCACTAAAAAATAATAGCAATTGGAAAGTCATTCATATATTTCTACTAAATTAGAGGAAAGATCGTAATCGACTTTTTCTGATAATAGGATTTTAATGAAAATATCGATTCGCGCACATAACAGTTCGGATCATTTCCACTCCCTATTACCCGATCTTCTGTAATAGAAAGGTATCTTCGTTTTGGGATGTATTAGTAGTTCTCGTACGTTCTCTATTACACATAATTCAGGAACTTGCTGATAGAGAAATCACGTACCAATCGATTTTGAAAGATAATGCAACCATGATTGTAATTAGTATTTTATAATAGATTCTGTATAGAACCATATATTACATAAGTAATTTAGATAATTTGTTATATTTATTTTATTAAATACTAAATTAGTGCAAATATTCAATTATTTTAAGTTGTCCAGAAATAAAGTCGGTAGTACTAATAATACACTGGAGAGATAACAACAACGTTCCTCGGGAAATACAGAAGATTTATATGAAACTGCTTCTCAGGTTCTAGTGGTTCACCTTAAGGGTGTAATGAATAATAATATTGCCCGGTGAATTATGGATTTTTAAGGGAATCTAAAATAGGATGTCGCGATTATATCTCAAGACATCTGCGATTCATATTATCAATTTCAAGACCAGAACCATTAAATATTTCAGAAGGTGGAATACATGCGAGATGACCTAATACGTTTTGAATAAAACATAAATAAAAAATAAAACACAGGGTAAAAGATATGGCATATTTATTCGTGGTTAAAATTAATGCATGCAACAGTAAAAAGAATTTGACAGGATAAGCGTCAGAAAATCTTGATGAGCATTTTTTATGCGCTTCCAAGATCGTAAAGGGACTCCATAAAACTATCAATAAAGTGTAAATAGGAATTTAAAGCATTACTTATGTTGCTTACAGTGAATATTAATTCAATTTATTAGTTTTTAAATACATTAATAATATACATATGATAGATAAAAACAGTACATTTATATGCAACTCTCCTGTATTCGGTTAGATGTTGTGACAACCTCTGGGCCTCTATACTTGTGCGTGAGAGTCTGGGAACCAGTGACAGCCGATACCGGGATTCTATTTTGCCTTTGGAGACTCCTGTATACCTGAATAATTAAAGCAAAAATTTAAAAATTTATCCGTTCGGGTCGGTCGGAAGGAAGGCAGGAAGGAAACAGAAAAGACAAAGGGACAGAGAAGTAGATTTATTTACCGTTTGCGATGGGATGTGTTTTTCTTTGGCAACATGTCTAAATTCGAAATCTTCAACCTCGTCCTCGTTCTCGTCGATCTTCTGCTTCGGTGGTTCATACACCTTCATGAAACTCTGCGTTTGTCTTCTTTCTGCATACGGAAAATCTAATTTAGCAAAGAATCGTAATGAATGAACAATGTTAGTTATATCGTAAAAACAGAGCGCTTCACAGAATGAAACAAAAAAATTATAATAATGAAAACATTTCCAACGTATAGTCGTCTGGCAAGAATCGTCTATGAAATTTTAATTAAGATTTACTTAATTTTAATTAGCTTCTTGTTTGGCCAAGAGTTAATGAATTTAATTAAAAATGTATTAGTAGAGAGTCTAGTGTAATCCAATTGTGTATGCTCACCGTACTGATTCCTGATGATGTCGGGATCGGAACCCTCCGAGGTTGGTCCGTTGCGCAATGTTTCGATGATAGATGTGTCGGGTATGACGGGCGATCTGACGCCTGTGATGTGCCCATCAACAATAAGATCTTCTGCCGCGATTACTGCCTCCATGGGAACGTGCTTACTGCCGCCGTCGCGATGACAGGGTCTAGTGTAGTGCCTTCGACATAGGGCAGCCAGGACCAGGCAGACTCCTGCAGCTAAGATGCCCACTGTTGCCAATAAAACCAGGATCAAGGGACTCACCGGAATTCCTGCAGAAGTACCTGCCAGCATAACAAGCGATCAATGTAACATATTCTAAGACTCAAAAAATGAATACTATTACTTAAGGTATAATTTATTAAATAAAATTTGTATATGATATTTTCAAGATGCAGTAAATTGATATATAACAATGGGGGTTAACAGTTCTAAAAAAATCTAATTAAAAGCGGTTTGAGCCAAAATAGTAATGAAAGACGAAAATAATAGGAAATGAAAAAAAAGTGAACAGCTAGCTATATATCATGGTGGCAATATGTTTCAAATTATGTAGATAAAAACGAGGGGAAACTCGGAATATCTTTCATCAGTTGAATGGCGGACAAATTATTCTGCTAGCATTTCCATACGGGGATATGATACAACAACAAAAAACGAGAGAAAAAGAGATAGAGAGAAAATGGAATGGAAAGATAGAAGGGCCGTGTTGTGTTGTTGAGAGAGCGTTGGGATTCAAAGTGGATATACGAAATAAGGGTGGACTAAATGGCGAATGAGACGTATTGCCAAGCCACACACAATCCCGAGCGATTCGCGCCCGCTAAGACGAAAAGGAAATGAATTATACATGAGCATCAAGGAATAAAATATTCAGACGAGTCAAAGCGTGAAATGAGCAAACGAACAAGAAAATATCAGTAAATAAGTTACAGCAACGAAGGGTACCTGTATATTTGGCGACGCCCTTGAATGTGACAGCATCGATGATGGTCGCATCGCTGCGACCCTTTGCGTTTATTGCGTAAAGCATCAATTTGTAGCTAGCTCCAGCTTCAAGGCCATCCACGTAAAAATTTGGAGGAGTCCTGGCTGCAGTCACGTTGATTTTGGAACGTAGACTCGGAGTTTCCAGTATTTCCATCAGAAAACTTTGGGGCAGACCTCCGTCGAAACTCTCGCTGCACTCAACTTGCAATGAGTCCGACGTTTGATTCATCACCGTGCAGTTCAACAGCGGAAACGGCCGACCTATAAAATCAAATAACGTCTATAACTTCTTCTTTTCAAACATAAATCAAATCCAATAGAAAATTTCAGCTGCTTGTAACGCCCAACAATTTGAAAAATAATGAAAACAGTTTATTAAAATATTTATTTGTAACATATAGTGCAAATAATATCTAGGATAAATATTATTGCAATGGACTGCAGTCAGTAGGCCTTTCTGTGATTTTATATAATACATTTTGTTTTTATTAATATTGTAAAGTTTATAAATAATATCGAAAAGTTTAAGGAGTAAGGACCATTCCGGTTGAATATAAATATGCGTAAATAGAAAATAGTGTTCGGAGAATCAGCAGACTTTAAATTCTAGACGGTTTATAGTAAAATGAATATGATCAGGCATGTTCTGAAATACAATGAGAAATAATTAACGAACACTAATTACGCCAAGTTTAATGAGTAATTTGCGTAAGTAGTTCTTCTTGCAAAATTGTAGTCCGTGCAGCTTTTGTCCTCTATAATTGAAGCCGAAAAGAAAGTTTCCAACCACTTTCTATATACGCGAGTTTGCAAATCCCATAAAACGTGTTGCATAAAAGCCTAAATAAAATGAAAATAAAAAAGCGGATAGAATCTGATATTTCTTACATTGCTTGTTTTTTTTATTATTGTTCTTGTTCTTGTTGTTACCGGCGTAATTTAAAATTCTGTTATTCTTGTTATTCGACACATGGCTATGTCGCCGGATGGTCATGGTGTGTGCCCTGAATCCGATGAAAAAGAAAGGAAGGTAATTTCGTTGTAATTGTGATCGATGGGAGATACGGACGTGCGATCCTAAGAACTTGTGTAATTGTCACAATTTACAAGCGAATACTAGCACCTTCTTAATTAGGCCGTAATGAAAAATTTAGGTTTCTCGCAAAGATGCAAAAGTTTACGTTAGTTGAATGCGGAAATCGGTTGTTACAAGTACGTGAGGAGAAGTTCTCTTCAGCCGCACGTTGGTTTTCGAATTGTCGCTGAATGGGTTCGGAGGAATGTTTGATGTTATTAGATTATCGACGAACTAGTGAAAAGTTTTCAGAGCTTGCAAAAATGAGAGAGACATGTTGGGTAGATAGGATGATGTTCGGTCGATGAAAGCTTCAGGTTTTCAGAAGCCGTGCATAAATCGCAATAAGCTCTGTGCATACATTTTCATAAAACTCGTTACGAATTTGCGGTCAAATAAAATTTCTCAAATAAGTGCAATGCCAGCCACCGTTCGTTCCTAGGTTTCACGCAGAACGTTCAAATTTTACATTCATACATAAAACATGGGGATCCGCAATGCACCGCACTTGTCGTACCGCACGGCAGGCCAATTTTATACCAACCATGCCACATTTTATTATCGCAATGACTCTTCAACCTCTATTACATTATCATATCGCATAGTATAAGCCACGTCTCAAGCCGCAACACGCATTCATTTATTCTTACCTGCAGCTACTACCTGGAAGACACACGGCACGTGCTGGTGGCCAACCTCGTTCTGGCCCCAACAGGATAATGTACCATAATCCATGTCTGAAACGGGGGTGTAGTTTAGCCTGGAAGAAGACATCTCACTGGTAAAGCGGGTGGTCGAAACCTCAGTCAAATCTCCGGAATTGTTGAATGTCCAATGAAACGTCACAATAGCAGGATTCGCGTCGACCTGACATCGTAACGCAACAGTTTCCTGCTTCAATGCACCGTATAACTCCTCCCGATCCTGCACACAAACGGGAGCATCTGCGACAAAAATCAAACAACATATATTAAACAGGTTCCGATATTTTTAAACTATCTTCATAACCATATAAATCAAAGGTTTTTTGTCTATACAAAAAGGAAAATGATTTAATTTGAAAGCAATTTTTTATAATTATAATTAAGTGAATATATTATATTGTAAACTTATATATATATATATAAATTTTTAACAACAATAAATATACCATCTAAATCTTGTTTGGAACTTAAGAGGTGAATATAACAAAATAACTTAATTCTTATAATTAACACAATTATTCGTTTCCTTGTAAAAAGAAAGGGCAGAAAGGGAATTAAAAGTAATACAAACAAGGGCATGAATAAGAGGCAGGAAGAAATAATAAATGTACGGAAAGTCGTAAATTGCTTAAGCGACAAAATCCAAATTACAAAAAAGAAAAGCGACTGGGGGAGTTGCACGAAAAGTTAACGGTTTTAACGAATTTAATAATTTCATTTTGCAGGGTTCAAAACTGTTTGTTAGTTTAATTGCGGAACAGACAGTGCGAGTAGCAGCAGCAGCAACAGCAGCAAGACTTTTACTTATCAAATTATCCCGACAGTATATTTACACACCAACAACTCCGACCTCGAATAATTTTTGCTTCCCCGAGAACGGGAAAACATTAACACGAACATACAAAAAGCACTTCTGTCCTCCTCACTGTGACCGGCAAAATAGGACAACCAACAACAAGAGAAAAAAAGAAGAGGAAACTGTAAGCACCCAGGAGACTCTGAATACACATTTAATATGAAGTATGTACGTTACCACCAGAATAAATAGGAGAAAAAGTGTATTGGTGCCAAAGGCAAGATCCGTTTTCTTATCCTGAACCGCTGCTCGAAAAAAATGTATAATAGTATACACTCTTGATGTATAATCTCTGGAGATCTAGTGAATCCACCACTAAGTTCTATATATAACTGTGGAAGAGCACATATCGTATTGAAAATTCCATATTTTAACATTCATTAATTATGATACACATGACCCATAAGCTTTATTATCGATGTATTGGCATGCGAAACATCGGTTAATATAAAAAGCATTTATTTATAATTAATAAAATAAATAAGAATAATATAACTACACATGTGTTTCACGCCTTTCGTTGACCCTTGGCGAAGGCAATAATAACCCCTTAAACTTTTGAGTCTGGCTTTTTCGGCTCGTTCGTATGAAGTTTATAACCCTCCACCAAGCGGAAAAAAATAACATTAAACGAGATGACATTTCACAACGATTGAATAAAATGCAGCAAACATTAAGTCTGTCTAAATATGCTATTTAAAACTGAAGGAATATTAATAATGGTTAAAACGTAGAGGTATATAACAAAAAAAATATTAAAAATATATTCAATCACGTTATCACTCAATTGTAATATTAAAAATAGATAAAGAAGGAACGAAAAGGAATATTTTAAATTAATTATTTTTTAGTATCATCGGCTCTACTAATTAAACATAAATATTAATTATTTAAATGAATACATGGCTATGCGGCATCGTAAAATTCAAGTACAAAAATAGGTTTGGAGCTTGTGTATATGTAACAAATTATTTCTCATAGGACATTCTGGTGCAGGAGTAAATGGAGCTAAGTAATTATGTGGCGGAAGCTGCAGAATGTTGCAAATGGACCGGGCCTTGCATATATAGATGCCATCTTGCGGTTCGCGGCGTTATGCTGGAGCAGCTTCCTTGTTTCGAGACGGTAATATCATGCAACCATCCGGTTTTCAAATACCACCATTAAATTTCCTTATCAAATGCACAAAGAAGCTTCTCTCTCTCTCATACAAAAGTCATTATCGTGACATGTTTTTTTTTTAATTTAATATTTTACGCAATTTTATGAAAAGTATTCATTATTATCAATGCATTTGCATTCATACATTATGAACTTAACTATATTTACTACATACTTTTTTAAAATAGGATTTGTTTTGTATAATACGTCAAACGGCTTATTAAGCAATAAGATAACAATGCATGTTAGCTAGTGAAGTTTTCGAACGTATTCAATTAATTTTGTATTGTAATTGTGTTTGTAATGGGGATGTAAATTAAGTTATGACTGAATTATATGCACAATGTAAGAACGAGGAATTACATTTTGTAGGACTAATGAAATCCCCTCGCTGCATGCCAGAAATAAATCTAAGTCTTTAGGTAAGGATTTAAATCACAAATAAGATTCCTTTCTTACCAAAGCACATTACAAATGATAAGATGCATTTTCGTTTTTGCATATTCACCATTCAATTAATTAAGTATTTTATATGTGTATTTAACACATTATAATATCGTATGAAATTTGACCCTCCTTAAATTACTATTGTGAGGATTACTAAAGTTATCTTACGTACTGTAATCGCTTACCAAGTTTTTTTTTATAAATTGTTTCTTTATGCTTTCCCAAATATATTTTTATTTAATTTAAAACCATTTCGTGATATATTTGAAGTTTTTCTTAATAGCTTAGATGTTTGGTATTACTATTTTTATAAATATGTTTGAAAATATATGTTTAAATTAAAATCTAATTAATCTATTTTTGAGTTTTATACTGATCGTTTGTTTATATGTGAAAATAAAACAATAAATGTGTAATTTTATCAATTTATGAATACTGTAGTTCAAAATGTATTACAAGTACGTTGCTTACAATATAATAGTATGTGATGGTAGACAATGGAATGGCGAATCTAATTGAATTTTGCGGACATATTCTGGTCCTTTTGTAGTACGACAGGGACCCTTTGTTCACCAAAGCATACTTACTAAGTGTATATCGTATGGTATCACATAAATGGACGATGTCACAGTACACATTTGACTTAATATTTTTTTTAAATTCGTTATTGCATGTCTAATGGTTTGGATTTTTCTCTTGCTGATTATGTAATGCAATTAACATAACGAGTACTGAAGGGTTTTGGTGTGGATATTGGCCATCCTAATATATTAGTTGTGCTATGTGTCTTCGGTCGGAGCGATTGCTTTGTGTATATTTTATTGCGGTACACATTTGCAATGTCGACTGTCCCTGTTCCTGTGCCTGTTTCCTCCCTATGCTTCCTATGTTCCCGCTGCTTCCTCCACATCCGGGTCTTAATAAATCAATGCAGCCTGTGGGATTGCGCATCCTATTAAACAGTTTACGTACTGTTTATCTGAACTCTCGGTCCCAGCTTTGATTTCTCCCGCATGCATTACTGCATTGTTGTGCCCGATCGAACAACAAATGCATTATTTAACCTATACTATCTACCCCTACATACTGCCATCGTTCCGAAACTGAACGCTAAATATGTTACGTAAACAAGGTTTCACAGAAAAAAAAAGGAGTAAAAAAATGTAGACAAACAAACCATAAACATATTTCTACCTCGGGAGCACATTCGTGTTACAAAATTTACTGCGTAAATATATATAATTGAACGAATCATTATTTTTTTAAATTGTTACTAGAATATGAAAACATATACACAGAACGTTATAATGGTTAAATTCATCTTGTTGTATATATATATACATATTTTATAGCGTTCTATATTGTAAAATGAAAATTATTTGCTGCGGAAAATTTTGACCGTTCATAAAATACAAATTTATTAAAATCGATTTACATAAGATTTTATTTGTATAAAAAAAAAATTGGACACTTTGTTTATATTTATTGATAAATTTTGCTTTTCAATTAAATGAAGTGACTGAAAAAGACATTAAATTTGAATATGAAATAATAAAAATTCATATCGCAAAACCGCGGTGTATATATGTTTCCCCTATAAATTAACGAAAACAACTAAAAACATCGCACAACGCTCAAATAGTTCCAAACGATCAAAGCGATTGCGGGTTTGTAAAATACGCACAATACAGTATTTTTTTCTTCCAACTTTGTTACTGTTTTTTTATACGATTGATTTGCTGTCACATAAATATACAAATTTAAATACCAAAATCTTCCTAACCCGCGCTTAATAATGGGATTTATTCGAGTTTTTACGGATATGCAAAATGTATATATTTCACACATTACAAACGGAATTCGGTTCAATATTAATAATCAATATTTATAATATTATTTCTGTCAAAAAAAAACCTGGAAAATATTTTTTTTAAGTTTTATTTAAATTTACGATCTGACAGTCTGAATATTTTTTGAAATTTTCCTACAAAACAATAATCCAACATTAATATAACGAAACTAAAAATTTATTCAATTCTAAAATTTATATGTGAGATCAAGTGTCTTTTTAGTCTATTATCCAATAAGTTAGTGGCTGTTTAGAGCAAGAGCCATTTTAAGATAAAGAGCCGCATATAGACATTACAATCGCTAATTTTGGTTAGTGATATTAATTTTCTAACAAAGCCACCGATGTGAGCCGCAGTTTCTTCTGAAAAGAGCCGCATGCGGCTCCAGGACAACGGGTTTCCAGACTATCTTAGTACCGCCTATATAAGTTTATTCTAGAGTTAAATTGAATCATTATGAAAGGTAAGTTTATATGTATGTAAATACATATTTGATATAATTTCATATAATATGTCTGGATTCGAAATTGCTCCCATCATAGATCTCAAAGGTTAATGTTCTCCATCTTGTCTACGTAAGGGTACTTAAACAAAGGTGTAATTGTTTTATAGCCTCGCTCTAAGCACAGGTGCTTTTGACCACATCCGAAGTACGTGGAATGCAGTAGCCGAAGTTATGATGTAATTCTGGAAACTTTATTATTTCCCTACAGACAAACTAGTAAGTAGTTATTACACAAAAGTATATGGTGAAATTATTTACGTCGAAATAAAGTGAAGTTATTATTTGTAATTTCATATTATATTTATGGGAAAACTCGTTTAAAGAAAGGTAAATATAACTAGCATTAACATATACGAGTTGTAAGTGTAAATTACTATCTTCTAGTACAGAGGCGGACAACTTTTCACATTATAAATAATCAGTATTTTTGTAACTATTCGCGATTGACCTATTTGTCTAGCATATTATTTAATGATAATTAATAATAAAATTAAATTCAACAATATCACAATAATATAACAATGACAATTTTAAATTAAATATTTTAAGAAAAATCATAATATCTATTTACATATAAATTGTATAATGAATTAAATATAACAATAAGCTTCAAGGTTTTAATCTGTTTTCTTAAATAATAAATGACAGATTAAAGACGTAATCGTCTTTATGATGAGATGAGGTTAGAAAGCAGTAATAGATGTACGATCGGTGTTGCGAAATAAGTAAGATCAGGGTTAAATCTTGGAACTTACATCTAACTGTGAGGGTGACTGGGTTGCTGGTTCCACGGCCCTCCGAATTGGCCGCCATACAAGTGTAATCCCCAGCAGTGGCACGTGTCACACTCTGCAGGACTAAGCTCTGATCGCTGAGAATTACCCCAGCCGATACGTTGTGGTGAATTTCTTGGCCCTACGAAAATCCAATAAAGCCCCGTTTTCGGACACCGCCTTTATCGCACATTGAAAAGCGTACTCACGTTATGGAACCAGGAGAGTTTATACATTTTCGGATTAGCACGTATATTGCATTCGAAGTAGACGTCATCGCCTTCCTTGATGTCCTCCGGGTTCAAACTCGAACCCATCTTCAACGTCACAACAGGCATATCTGAAACAGATAATAAGAGCATTTTTAATTATCTTCGTTTTAATGTTGTAAATATAAAAAAAACAAATATTACAGAGAGACGTGAGCGCATCCCCAAAAATCAACGAGAAAAATAGTTCTATCCAGCTTACCGATACTGCCTTTGTAGCGCTTTCCTATAGTGTATGATAAATTGATTGTACTTTTGTATCATTAATAATACTCCGACTGTTTGGAGAATTATCCGATATCAAAACATGTTCCAAGTATAATAATAATAATAAAAATAATAAAAAATAATAAAAGCAAGTAGAAGGAGTGATATATAGCAGAGGAGAGATAGATGGATGGGGAATAACAAAAACAAAGCAAAAATGCTGCAGAAAAAGGAAACAATGGAACACATATAAATCTATTCAATTAAATGAAAAAAAGGCATGTACAGTAGCGGAGAGTGGTCCATTGTTGGGAGCTGCAGCCCAACAATGGAAATAACGTATATAATGCGATTTCTGTTACTGCCGACGTCAGCTTAATGCAGAAAACTTTCCTGTATTTAGTTTGAAAGACCACACACGGGCGATAGAAGTTACAACATATCAAAGTGAAGCTTTATGAAAAGTAAACCGGGAAATATGTCCGTCCAGTCGGCCATACATACAAACTTTCCGTATAAATTTGGCAAACATAATTCACGCCAAGGGCACACACCTAAAGCTCAAAAACGTTTTTAGTACGCCTCACGACTTCAGCATGCATACATGCACATGTTTTAATCAAATAAGATCTTCGCTCGTTACTTTCAGTTCTACCGAAACATGTTTCGGATTTCAATGCGCCCATTCGAAACTCATTTGGGTAGGAAACCAAAATGTTCTGACTCCAAGAGACCGAATCGAAACAATACGGCGGCGGAGCTCGCGATTGTTCTTCCATCCAAGATTTACCACCCCTCCATCTGCATTGAGGGAATGGCATAGGAGAATAGGGAGGAGGGAAAATCGATTGTGCGCTTCTCCAAAATTAACGAGTTATCGTTTTGTAAGCTTCATATTTATTGGCGATAATGCGTAATTACCGGATGAAAATAAATTTTTAGATGGGTTTTAAGTACAAAGAGCTTAAAATATTTGATCGTTAATTAATTGCGCGATTATAGCGAGACTGCATGAAATAATCTATAGCAATAAAGAAAGTATTTATAAATCCAATATACAATATATATACTACACTAATGGTTCTCCTGAATCTGAAAAATCGAGGCAAATATTTTTTTTATCAAAGAAAAAAAAAATGGATTACCAGAAAACTGAACTCGATAATTGAATAATAAATTTTACTTACAGCTCCCCTTTTTTATATAGATATAAAAATATCACAAATTAGCAGATATCTGTATGCTGCATCAAAAGTGTGATACAGAATTGTCTATCAGGTGTACAAAATACCTTTGATTATTAACAATTGTGTTATTTAAACTTACTATAGCACTACACAATCTAAATACGTGCACATAGTAATTGGTACGACTAATATATTATTAATGTTAAATTATGATTTCAAATCAAAGAATTTTCAATACCGAAATCATATTGAAATATACCAAACGAACAGTGAGAATAGATAAATTAATTGGTGTAGGCTCGGAAAGTTGGAGTTGAAACAGACCGTGAGTAAATATGCAGAGATTAAAGAGATGGATGGTAAACTGATGAAAAATATAGTACATTTCAAACGAAATGTTGAAAACTTACAGTGTACGTTAAGCCTCCACTTGTCCTCGAGGGCGCTGTCGGAGATGGACGGATTCTCCGCCCGACAGGTCAAGTATTTGCCATCGTCATCGATCACCGGTTCGAAAGTCAGGATGCTGAGGCTTTGGTTGTTCTGCTCGGAGAACTGGAACCCAATACATACATTAAAATCATCACTAACCAATGCTACGTATAACCTGTTGCTAAGAAAACTACTTTCAAAATATTTATCAGAATACAGGATATTTGGTATTATACATTTATTCTATTTTTTTAAATTAGAGATACTTGTAATCAGAACTGAACATAGTCAAGATTCTTTTTACTCCCGTTATTCACAATTTTACGGTATATATTTTTTTTTTCGTAAACCAATTTAAACTGAAAGCTTTCTGTACATAAAAGCTCCAGGTTTTAATTTCCATGTAACAACACGCAGCTATTGATGTGCTTAATCCTCAATGTTTGGGGATACTGGTAATACGTTGACGATTGCATACACGGATTGTGCTTTAGAAATGTTGAATAAAAGCGGATTCAAATTCAACCATAATAGTAATTTTGTTTTAAAAAACTAAAAGTATATTGAAATGTATACTTTGACATGATCAATTTTTGATACTCATTCTAGCATTATACAAGTCGCAAACGCATGTAAACACATATTTATCAATAATCTAGTAAATATCAGCTAGAGTAGAATTTAGGTATTACAAATTTTTCCGAAAAGTGCACAACGTTATTAATACTATAAACTCGGTGAGCAAAGATATATTTGATATTCAAAGCACATAATTCATTCATTTGGATAAAGTACATTCTGTGTATAATTAATAAAATGTAATATATTGATTATTTAAATCAATAAAATCAATGTGATATCCGTGGTTTTAAATAATGTATACCAACAGAACAGACAGTTTCAATAGAGGGATCCAGATTAAAAAATAAATTCATTTATACTATTTTCACTTTTATGTTGGATATTATTTGCATTTGCGACATGAATGTGTTATTATTTATTAATATTCATTTGTTTTGTAAATTTTGTTTGTAAATACACTGCGAATAAAATAATAATATTTTCAAATGTTACATTTATTTATTTGAATATATAACATTATTTATTAATGATTGTATCACTCAAATATGTACATATTATAATTAAAATAAATTTAATTCTATTTAGGGAAAAAACTAGTCATTTTTAGTTTTTTCCCTAAATAGAATTAAATTTATTTTAATTATAATATGTACATATTTGAAATTAAATTAAAAATTTGATAATTATGTAACAAAATATAATAGATATATTGATTTGTATATTAATTTATTATAAAATATATTTTTATTTATTCAAATATGTATATATTGCATGTTTTATAATTTAATTGATATTGATAAAGAGCATATGATTTAGTAAGTATTACAATAAATATTACATAAATTCTGATGTGTTGATATGTGTGTATTGCATCAAACATCAAAAGTTTCTATTATATTGTAAATGTAAAATTAAAAAAAAATATTATCGTCAAATTTGAATTCTTTATATATAGTGTTACGAACCTAATATATCTAGAGAAATAATTATCGAAAGATTTTTGTACAAATAAAAAATAGTGTACTTAATACTGGGTGATATAAAAAAGAATTGGTGATAAATTCGTCGTGGGGATATAAGTAGAAAACAATTAAAAAGTAGTCATGGATTAATTGTTTTTACGAATGAAAGTCGTGGAGTTGTAACACTGGTCTATTTATTTGAATGTTTGTGTAAAGGCAATAAATTTTATCGGATGAAAATCGGGAAAATAGGAAGGAAAAGAAGGGTTTCCTGAAAAGTTATCCGAACTGCTAGTACTGTGGCAATTTAATTAAGAAAATTATCAATGGAGTAGTTTGCGAGTAGGAATTTAATATGTAAAAGCAATTTAATTATGTAATTAGTTTGTTCGTGGGCATGCGGATATGTGCAGCATCTGTTTAGAAGTTGGATGCACAGCTGAATAATTTTTGAAAGCGAAAAGGCTCAAGAAGGACTTTATGAACTTCAGCCTGTTTCAAGTTGAGAATAGTTCAGTTCGAGTCTGGCTGCCTCCCTCCTTCCTACTGCAGCGCACGAATATACGAATGTAGTATCACATGAAATGGGGAAAAATCATCCATTCCACAACGTTTCTCGAAACAGCGTAACAAAATATTTGCTAACTATCATATAAAAGAATAGAGGAAATGTTTACAGTGAAAAATATAGAATAAAATAGGAAAAGCGAGTCTGCCGGATTCGTTTCATTGTTTTGCAACATACAAATTACCTACACGCAAAGAAAAGACGCTTCCCTAGGTACAACGTAGAAATTATATAAGAAACGAACGAAAAACAACGACATATTTTCTATTTTTAATGCTGCATAAATAGTTGAAATATCCGCAAATGGGTTCGGTGAATGGTTCATTGGAATAATGATAGAAATACGACAATGCTTCTACACTTTCACAGACTTACATTCTTCGCCAGCTTCTTAACTGGTCTGCTGCCCTTCCACCAGGTGATCACGGCTTCCGGCCGGGATCCGGTCGTCCTGCATTCCACCTCGTACCTCTTCTCAGCTGAAACCTGCTTTTCCTTTGTCAGAATGCTTACTGATTGGGGTTTCACTGCAACAAGTAGAAAAAGTTTGGTGAAATATGGATTCAGCCAATTTACATTTATATACGGCTGCTCGCCTTTTTCTGCAAACTCCTCTTCGACCAAAGCAAAATTGCATTTATAATTTCGTGAAAGACAAAAACGTCGACAAAGAAGGCCGCGAGGAATAGAGAGCATTAAATATATTTTAAAATATTCACGGAATGACAACAAGCTTTCCCCTTAAAAAGTGCACCCTTATTCGAAGGGTATAGGGAGTTGGGCGCTGCAGCATTCGTTTTTATATTCGTTGATGGTTCTTTTGCTGTTAGTGACGCCGTCACCACTTTTATTTATCGCTTAGTCCCAGTCCCAAAGAAATACCCCACTTTGCATTAATTTAACTATCAATCATTGCATCAGCATATTTTCATAAACATTTAGAAACTATTAATAAAACTTGAAAGTCATCTGTAATTGATTTCCATTCTTTCTATTCTTTCTAAATAAATAAAAACAATAATAAATTTTATACATAATGCTATTTTAATATAATATGAACTATATCAAACCAAAATTTTACATTTGTACATATATTTTACAAATATATATATATGGCCTTGAACTATAAATAACTACTAGCACTATATGCATCGAATTTTTTAACTTTTTAACAAAGCTATTTCTATGAAAATAATAAATTATTGTTCGAATAAGTTCAGTTTGAAGACCATTGTTAGTGATAACAACCGATTACATCTATCATCCTGTTCATGTTACAAAGAAGAACCTAGTAAATAGAACTAATCCCGTTCAGATTACCAATAACAAGGAGACTTGAGCCAAACGCTAAATCTGTAGATTATCATTGGTTTGCAGTCGACCCATTGCAAAAGAGGCGTCGTTCCTAGGTCGCGGCAATAAGAAAAGGAAGATCGGATGAGTTGAAATATTGGTCACGTAAAACGCGGAAAGCCTGGACGGATTGTATCAAATGAACGTTTTCCAAATGTTGCATGAGATGGCAAGTTAGTAGCATTTATATACTCATTTAATTGTTAAAGAAAATACGATTATATGTCTGGAAACTTTGGCACAGATAAATATTCCATTAAATTAAAAGCATTGGATTATGAATATCACTGATGATCTTGCGGCTCCCTGAAACAATGCATACTCGGCCTTTGTACATACAATGCCGTTTGTATATATCAATTAGAGTTAAGCAATTCTACAGGTACTTTCATGTTGACACTTTTTCACTAAATTTTTGATTTATTTTATAAAATGGCAATTGAACACATCTCGAATCCGTTCATCCCATTATGTCAGAAATAATTGATATCCGCTCGGTGTTTAACACTTATTAATATCTATTGTGATGGATAACATTTTGCATTGAAATAGCATCTGCTAAATTACATCATCCGTCGTTATTTTGAAGTAGTACAATAGTAGTGCAGTCAGAAATTAATATAAATTGAATATACAAAAAAAAAACAACATGTTCGTGATATAAATCAGCCACTAATATAAAATTCAGCTATGATTATTTTAGCAAATCTCATTATCAAATATTGCAAATAATAATTAGAATTATAGCATGCAGCACTATGTTTAATGTACAAACACGCACACGGAAATAATTAGCATCTGCATCGACTGCTCTATTGCTTACCAATAGATATCATTACATTTCAATTACGTAGATGTATGCAAATTACAGTTTCATAATTTCTATTGTCACAGAAAGCTTGCGTTGATTTATTTAAATATTGACTAAACTCACTGACATTATTCACGTAATTGCATCCATTGTGTGAAATAATTATATACTGGATGCTACTGAATGGCCACTGGGATTATTATTAATTCAAATATGCGATGTTGCTCATTGAAGTTCTTCGATTAGAATAATATAATTATCCCAATTAATATAGAAGTGTAAGGATTACCCTTGTGAATATGTATTTAATTATTATATTAGATTACGCATAAATCTGATATTTATACGCGGAACTTCATAAGTATAGAAGATATTTTACTTAGTTATTCAAGTATATATGTCACTCGAAAGTACATGAAACTTTGTAAATAAATATAATTTTATGCAATATCTGCATATTCTGTTAGTAGTAGATCCTTTTTATATAGTTATTAATAAGCAAAAATACTTGCTCAATGGTAAAAAAGAAATACTTACAGTTAATATCAAGTACTACCAAGCTGGTTGCAGGTGGTGCCAGAACGCTGTTCATTGCCTGACATATCAGTCTTGATTTCAAATGTTGTCTTCCAACATTTGGGAAGGTTAAATGGTTGACGACAGTACCATCGGAGCGGGTCTCGTATGAGTCATCGATGATGGTATTCTCCAGGAACCAAGTAACCCGAGGTCTGGGTCTGCCTGTAATATGCAAGAAGTAAAAAGTAGTGAAACGTTTGTTTACGATGCCACCGGCATTTCAGAGCGGATCCCGACCGATATGATGGAGAACGTCATGCGGAATATAATATATAAAACGATAAATTTTTATGTCGCTGTAAAAGTGTATGGAAGAGGAAGAGTGAGAAATGTAGCAAAAATTCAGTCGCCGTTGTTTCATCCGACATCCGAATGGAAATCCGATTATTTCCCTAAAATTCAATCCATTCATCGCGAAAACCGCACCCGATGAAACACTGTCTGGAACCTATCGGAAATATCGCCACTTGTATTCGAGCGTCCTTGTTTATATTATGATTCCACCGAATTTTATGAATAATTCACGAACGATTTCGAAATTTCCGGTCCCTTATCCGCCGAAAACCGCCCTCGATTCTGCATTCCTACTGTGATTATTTTATTAGCAAAGAAACAGAAGGGCGCATATAAAATAAAACCCTCCCTCTTCTCATTTCCTTCCTTTCTGTTTTATCGCCGCAATCGATACGAAACATGAAAATTAATATTATTCGATGGAACACGCCGTACACAAAACGAAATATGAATATTTACTTACCTCCGGCGACTTCGCAGATTAAATTGACGTCGGATCCCTCATTGTAATATAGCTCCAATTTTGTCGTTCTATCTCTTCGGCGTCCATCATAAATAACAGGCCTTTCAGGCGGGACTGCAAAAGAAAGCCTAATTAATACGCTTGCCTTGGAGCACACATTTTATAGCCATATTACAAACTCATTACAGTGAAAACGAGTCATGTTGTTTCAGAGTTTCATATTCGTCCTTTTACACATCAACACATATATTGATTAAATAATATAACGCTGCATTCGCACTGCAAACGTGACTTTCAGAGTAATATTTTAACATGTATTGTGATTGATTACCATGAAAAGACATTTATAAAAACATATATACATTTACGTAATATTTTAACGTTAAAAACATTAAAATATATTATCTTTTCATTTAAATTCTATTCTATTCGTAACAAAATTGTTATATTTAAATAGTTTTTGTATTTAATATGTTGTATTTATTATTTAGTATATTGGCAATATAAAATAGGAAATTTTCATTTTCTAAATATTTGAAAATATTAAAAAAATATGAATAGAAATTAATATAAAACAATTATAAAAATAATAACTTGAATCGTCATTAAAATATAGATATGGGATAAATTTGAGGTATGTTGTGTAGTTTAATCAAAAGTCGTAAACAAAAAGACAATTTGGAAATAAATTGAGGAGTACTTCCATGGATATGTGTAAGTCTCACGCAACGTATATAAATCGCGCAATTTGTCGTCTTCCTGTTGCGAAATTAAAGTTCGACGTCGGCGCAGAAAGAAAACGGTCTTCCTCCCATCGCGGAGGAAACGCGGAGAAAAGGCGGCATCGGGTCTATTTCCCAGGCGGTGGCTGTCCCAGGATCCAGGCTAGCTGGCATCCTTTATCCCACGATTTCCACCGTCATCATTCTTCCAAGTTAAACTGCTTGTGTGCCGAACTAGGGTCGTTTCCACCTCGACCCGCACACACAATAAAGAAAAATGTTTTATTTTCGGGGTATATAAATGCAAATTTTGGGTCGACGAATATTCCCTACAACCTCCTCTGCTTCTCCTCCTCTTGCACCACACAAAAAGCAATTACATAAAGAAACAAAAAAACGGGAGAAAATGGAAATATCTATGTTAAAGGCGAACAATAGTTGTTGGGACCTAATTAACCAAAACGAAACCAATCGTTTTAAAATGTTATTATGTTCAAGTATAGTGGAAGGCCCACCCTCTCAAACATAAAATTACAGTATAATTGAATTTTAATTGTACTGCGAAGTTTTTATCAGATTAAAATAATTACATGTAATTATTGCCGGCACCCTTTGACGGTGCATTTACTACAAAAATGAAAGAGCTCAGAATGTTTAAACAATCAGATAAGAAAAAAATAAGAATGATGTTTGATATATATATATCAGAAACGACATTCTATACAAATGTGAAAAACTACGAGATATTTATTAATAATTAATTTAATTTTGTACATTGATGAGTATATGTGTGAATTAAAACACAACTATATGGCAGAAAAAAAATAATAGGTAGTTTGTTGGTATACTTCTGGTCGATAGGATGATAATGGAAATATTGAATACAAATTAGTTAAAAAACCTTTATTAAATAATTTAGTATAAGTTTATATAATATAAAAGTTATGCGTTCATGGAAATTTCTAATTAAAGTTTTCATCATCGTCTTCCTGTGATTGTGTGATGGTAATAAGAAGCCAGACTCCTGTTTATGTTGAAACGTGTTCGTCAAAAACTTAGTGCCTTGTCAATTAACGCACCGAGAGGTATACGACTCGACTTACATGCTCCGTATATCAAACTTTAATTACGTCGAGTTTCTCTTCGGGAAATCACATAACATCTGGACATCTAACATTACAAAGCTGCTCTAAGTGTAATTTAATATCAATTTTCAAAGGAAATATAATCCGACGGATCTTCGGATTTATGGTATAATATTTAGAAATCTTGTGCCACTGCCAAATTATAATTCTCCGGTTCGTTTCACGGCATAACATTATCGTGTAACATATACTTAATTAATGACTAGTTACACTTAATAGTTATAAATTATAATACGACTGAAAAATATTGATTGTCACTCTTTAACATAACGATCGTTAAATACGTGAATGATAGTTAAAAAGTAGTATTATATACAATTAAAGTTATTATTTTATATCTATGATGAACTGCATACAATAAAACATAATAAATAATAAATTGTTTACTTAAATGGAATATATAATAATATTTTAAATATGAATTTAGGAATAGGACTAAATACGGTTAACGTTTCTTAAAAGCAAATTGCAAAATTGCTTTAATCATTAATTTAAATTCATTGAAATTTTTCCATATTTCCAAAATTTATAAATATTATATTTTGATTGATTTTTGAGGAATTATAACAATATTGCTTCTTTTTGAGTTGATAATCGTGATACAATTTGCATAATTGATCGTAATAAATTTGTGGAAATTAATACAAGAATATTTATTACTCGTCTGCATCGAAATAGTTTGCATAGGTTTTTGTAGTCGCGGTTCTTGAAATCACTGCATTGTTAATGATAATTGAATGAAAAAACGGCAAGCTGTAAAATACAGGATCTAGAATGAATATGGTTGTTCTTTGGGAATACGATGTAACGAAGAAGAACGAGGGTCGATCCCGGGGGCACGCCTCGCAACTAGGAAGTCAATCCTCATTCAAAATTTCCAAGTGGATCACTTTGAAAGCAAGACCCCTGCGCGATGTTTCCAATGTTTACTTAATAAACATTTGTTTATTCTATTGTCGCACAATAGAAATTTTAATATTTTAAAAAGTTTATATATATATACGATTTTGTTTATTTTTAATAGTTGCAAATACAAATAAATACGATTTTTCCATCCATTATTGGACTACTGCTGAAAACCAAATATATTCATTTTCGAGGGAACATATGGCAGTACCATTATTTATTAGGTAAATTCAAAACAATCGGACGCAATAATATTAACAAGTCGATAAATCAAGGCGTAATATGTGGTGTAGTTTGCAAAATGCGAAATAAACAGGAAAGTGAATAAAATAAAACATGTTAATATATCTATACTTTCGTTCGTTTTGCACTCGACAATAATGATAGAAAGGCGTATATTTTTTTTGTTTCTATAAATGGGACCTCGTATATTCCTATTGTTGCGGCAGTGATTTACGCGCTTGCTATCGGATCGGTTACACAAGGGCGGCACTCGAATTGGGATCCATTTTTGCTAAAGCGATTGAAAGTTGAAAGCTGTTTGGAAATTGTGTCGGGATTGAAATGATATGTTGATGTATCTAGTTTATCACGTTTATGTTACTTGTTATCATCCAGCTATAATTGGTTGTTAGAAGTTTTGGCTAAAGTTTTCCTATTTATGAGCATCTTGCTGTACCACGTTTTAGCTGTTAAAGATATAACATCTAACGGCACTCAGGAAGATCATATTCTATTTATAAGTAGTTAGAAAACAATGACGATGCCAGTGAAAAACAGTTCTTGATTCAATAAGGGAACTTGCGTAAAGATTGTCATTTCTCTTCGTCCGCTCGGACTCTTGCCTTTTCTAATTAAAATTGATACGCTCACGAAGTTTTAGCGTAAATCGATAAACCGTTTGGCTGGAGGTTATGGGTTTCGGCTCGTCTCGAAACAAATGTAAAATATAGAAAGCCATTTGTGTTGAGAGCGTACGTGGATTTCCATTTAAATCAATCTGACGTTCAAATGCAATATCTTCTTAAGGCTTGTGTTTAATGGATTGATAGAATTTATAAGCGTGGAAATTGGTACCGGGTTTCGTTTATATGTGCCGGCTTTGGCGTGGCCATGTTATGTAACCCATACAGACGCAGATAAGAGCTGCATTGCGGGCGGCTGCCGTAACCGATGGGTCTCGCTGCTCCCCCGAGCTGGGAAAACTATGCCCTCCGAGCCTTTTCAGCCGCCCTTCCCCTTCTTGCCAACGGTTATGTCATATAAAAGCCGTAACTCATCTCACGCTTTTACAAACGCTTATAAGCAAATTTATATCTAGACTAACTTAACTAATTTTAGAGGAAATTTAGCTACCATCATAATTATAAACTTTACATTTTCACTCTCATCTAAAAAAAAAAATCCATTAAACTTTTATAATAATAAAATATATCGGCACATATTCTGTTTTCGTATAATTTTCATATCATTTTACGTAACTTGATATAAAAATATTCGTTGGTCTTCCACATGATTGCATTATTGAGCCTATTTATTTCATAAATTAGAAGAAAGTTCAATCTGATTCTTTTGTATTCATTTATTTATTTTAAATGAATAAATATTGATAAGTGTTCAACTGGTCTCGATAGATGAGATAATTGCTCATATTTGTAACGCTTTGGTGGATGCGCCGGGCTAACACGTGGCTTCAGTCATTAAAATATTTCCCTCAATTTACTAAATAAGATGACAATTCGTAACAAACGTAAAACAATAAGCCAAATATATATGTTCTTATTTTGTTTAATTATTGAAGTAATATTATTTATGATCATTGCTATTACATTTTTTTTAAAGATGATTTGGAAATTGCTGTTTAACTTGCTGCTTTAGAGAATGGGCGGTTTATGGTTTCGATTTTTTATCCGAACGTTGAAAAAATTGAAGACGTTAAATTCAAAAATGCTGAGTTACACGTAGGGGGAGAAAGATCCTTGCATTTGCATATCTAATTTACATGATTACATTTACGTGTTGAGCAGATGACGAAATTGTGGTTAACAAGAGAACAAGTGCAATCTAGAGATAAAGCAGAAAGAACAGAAATAAACGTTGGATTAATCAATGCTTCAACAAACGTAAATAATATTCTATATTACTAAAATTGCTATTTGATTTGTGAATATGTATTCGGTTGCGACTCTTTTGTAGTGTACGATGTTGAAAGTCGCGCATACGGCAATTTGTTTCCTTATGTACCTTGTCGATAATATAGCTTTGGGATATCACATATATCTATTGCGCACATTCTACGACACAGTACCAAATATATGAAATTTTCAAGAAATATAAAATACTTACTGATAACTGTGAAATTCACGTTGCTATTCCTAGTGGGTGAATCTTTAAAATCCACCCTGCATCTGTAAATGCCTTCATCTGTGAGTTGTATATCATCTATAACTAATGTTGCTGGATTTGTTGCAGCTCGGAAGTAGGCGCGTGTTCCAAAAACTGTTGGGGACGACCACAACTTCGCCTGATTGAAATGTCTACCTCTCACGTCGAAGCTGTAACAAAGCAAAAGTAATTAGTAAAATAACTATACAATTACATTCCGAATATAAAACATAAATTGAATGTTCAATGAATGTATAGTATTTCTTTTCTGCATAATGAAATTGAATAACAAAAAATCGCGATTAACAAAAACCTCAAATATAACCTGATCCTTATATAATGTTGAATTGGAATATAAAACTTTAAAGCGGTTCCTTTATGTGGAAACATATTTTGAAGAAATTTATCTGAGCGCTTTAGCCCAGCCTTAGTGAAGCTCATAACGGTGTCCCATTTATATTCAAAATCTATGATAATAATAATCCGTGCACTTTTAAAACTTTAAATTGCCCTCTAAAAGAATATATCGATTCAGAGGGTCACGAAATATCAAGTGTGAGAGAACACAGCACGTTCCTAAAATAATATATTTAAAGATATCTTTTGTGCTGCTTTCGAGGGCAGCCAACACAAGATTATCATGTACATACATAATATATAAGAAAATAAAACTACTGTAAATATTACTTTAAGTCCAGTATTTAAATTAACTTTTTGAAAGAACAGGAATCTGTTCAAAGTTAAGGTAATTTTTATTTATCTAGGTATAATATATTCTTTTTAGTAACGTTTGAATAAAATTTTCATATTAATTGAAACTTATTTTTATGGGAAAACATTACAAATTATTTTTTTTTAGAATATGTTTCTTTTATAATCCCTCAAACAATCTACTTAATGTAATTGTATAATGTGTTACAGAGCAGTTTGTACTCCAGATAAATATTTATGTCTGAATCTACAAATATATTATATTTGAATCAGAAAATTACAAATTGCATAAGAAATTCAATTATATAAAATAGAATATATATGTTTCTATTTTGTATTACTCTTCATATTTTTGAAATGGATTAAAGTATAGTAAATTGTATGTTCCACATCATCGCGCACCCTAGATGTCAAATGACAGCAGCCACTTTCTGGAAATATTCAAAACGTTGCTCTTTTATTTGCTCTCTCCTTGCGTTCTGAACACAGATACATTCTGAGAGATAACAGGGATCGAGAAAACTGAGGACCCTCGTTGTGTATTGTACTTATTTATTCTATTCGACTGCTCGGTATTTGTCTCATAAACAAGAGGTGAGGGGTTGTAGGAGTTTGGTTAAACTTTGGCGGCAATGATTGCGGTGGTGGAAAAGCAACGAGAGCAAAACGGGACAGAAGATTTTTGAGAGATTTACGAGCCCCGGAAAACGTTTTCATTGCGGGTGTGAAAATTGTCCTTATTGTCTTGGCAAGTGGGCCAGAAACGCGCGCCATAATGAATATTCATCCGCGTATATAAAAGCCAATCTCCCAGCAAAACTCTGCTCCTGCGAGAGCTGGAACCGTTTTAATAGAACACTTAAATCAAGTTATAAGACAAGAGACATCTTGGCTAATTTAGGTGCCAGATCATAATATATAAAGATACATAAACACCATAACGACATAAAAAACATTAAATCGAACAATAATTAATATATATATATAAAAAAGACATCTAACATTACATCCTAACATTATTTTATGTTAGGATGTTTACAGATTTTGCTCATCCTTAATTAAATGTTTCGCGTAACACAAATAATCAATTCCAATTAGCTGTATAAATCTATTACCAAAGAAAAATAAAATGAATGTTTACTTTTCATTAACTTCAAAAACTGCCATTAACTCCGAAACTTCTAAAATCTTATCGAGCACATCATTAACTATACAATAACAATGAAGCAAAAAATCAGGAGGTGAATTCGTTGCTACTTTGTAATTGTAGGTATTTTTGAATACCTTCTTTAGTTATAACTGTTAGAAGAGAATGTAGGTTTGTGGGTTTTAGAATGGCAAAGATACTAATTTGATTAAATGCGAAGCGCAGCAGGAATATCACTACTATTAATCGCCGCTTAATATATTTGTAAAATATAGCTGAAAGTCTCCGCAGGTAGTGGATATTTTTTTCATTAAACCTGCACTCTAATCGATTGTTTCGGTACGCTTTTATCTAAATTACCTGCCTACTATTTCATCGCCGAAATAAAAAAAAAACACCTTTTCCACTTATAATTATTCCTTATTGCATTCCGTTAACTAGCCATTTTGATCATTTCCTATAACATATTTGTTTATTTATGTATTAAATAAATAATATCTTTCTTACTTTATTTATATATTCATTTTTATTAAAAAATGTTGTAAAAATTTATGTTATGTAACTATTAATAAAAAGTAAATACTATATAAATTTCTTACCTATACAATGGTTCCCCAATACTTTCTTTAAACCAAAGGACCATGGCTACAGCGTCATCTCTATCTCTGGGAGTTATATCACACGGCAGTCCTTTCTTCTTAGCTAGTACACCCTGTACATCCTCCATGGGAACTGAAACATACAAAAATAGAGTATTAAAAACATTTTTCATATTCGACTAAATCTAATTGATCAATTAGTTTTGTGGTTTTGCTGCTGTAATTGATTGGTTACGACAATTAGTAAAATTTAATATTCTCAGAGTGGTGGCAGCGCCTATTATTATATACAAACTAAGTAAACAGATTATCTAAATTGATTACTCTGCAAACAAAGTAAAACATAGTGCAAGAATAAAACGATGCAAAATGCATATAAATAGTAAGTAATTCGAAGGATGTCTTGGCATGATGCTGTAGGAATACATAGATCGGTTGAGCGTAATGACTCCAAGAGACATTTAATATTTCGAGATGAGATAAGAAAGTTACACGAGCTTATGTAATTATGTGGAGGAGGGAAGAGGCGTTACAAAGGCACTCTAATGAGGTTTATATTCGCGTAGAGAGATCCTCGAAGGCGTTTTATATACACATCCGTTTGAAAATTTATTTAAATTTAATTTCATTATTTCGAAAGGAATTTGCATAAAACAAACAGCGGGTATAATCAATGCCTGTGGTGAATGTCGTTCGAGCGGCGGGACTGAAATAATTTGAGACAAAAATGCTGGTCGGAGCTTAACGGGTGGGAAACTGGGAACACACAGAAAGTGTGAGAGAGAGAGAAAGAGTGGAGTAATGGAGAATGGGACAAAGGCTACAAGAGATACTACGATGCGAATTGTATGAGAGTGAGAGAGATAAAGATGGGAGGAGCTTACACTTTGGGAGGACAGAAAAAAAAGGGGTTGCAAGTTGATTAAAGGGCGAAGCGGCACGCGGCTGTGATTGATGCGCCAAACAACAGACGGACTTGAATAAAAATAATATATATTAAGGCGATATTAAATGAGAAAGTAATGGAGACCCTGGGCGACGGTTTTATTAAAAACTTCTCCCGCGACTTTTTCAATAAGGCACTTTATGCCAGACACCTCGCGACTAGTAATGAAGGAGATAACATCCCATCTCATAATGGAGCCCCCACCATCTCTTCTCAACCGCTCGCCATCGGTAAGATCGATATCTAATGGTCCAACCAACAAATCTCTCAGCAATCAAACATTTAATGTATGCATGGTGGTTATCTGCATGTTTCCACAGGAAATCACTCACTCAAACCATCCTCCTCCTTCGACCCCCGTTATCATGACATTTATTATAATGCGAAAGATATAAACGTTCCCAGCTTTCGGGTCACCAAACAAAACTTTGAATCACAACGGATACGTATTGTTATTGCAATTAAGTAGTGTTCCATTCCGCATACAAAGTGCCTGCCGAATAGTTCTGCTAATTTCATTAAGGTCCCCGTTCAGTGCCCCAATTTGAATGCCGCTCTCACGAAAATGCCTTCAACTAGCCCAACCTACAAGTTTAATACAATACCTAATTGTCAAAACTCTTTCCTACAATTTACCCACATTCCTTACTATTTCCCCAAGAAAACCAAACTTCCGCTATTATCATTCAGGTAGATTTGCCAAATTTAATTACTAGTTACTCAAAACAAATCAAGCATCTCCAATATCATTTAGAATCATTCAAAATTCACTAAATCATTATTAATTATGATTTGCTTACACCTCAGCTTACTTATTATTTATGAAAATTATACAAACTACGATAGAAAAAAAAGATTGTAATGAACACTTCATTTATGTTTTCTAGTTGACAACTCCATGAATTAAGTTTGTTGTGAAAAAGAACAATTATAATGTACCTTTCTTACTTTTTCTCGAATATAGTCGTATTATATATTTTTAAGGCTTTGTAGGAAAGCGGAATGTATTTACATAAACTTTTAATCAGGGAAGAGTGAAGAGAAGATTTTTTAAGTGACGTGAGTGAACCTGAAACTTTTTAATAATTCCTTCGGTCGTTCGCAATTTCTTCTTCAGTGCTACCGAATGAACATTGAGCAGCGGAATCCTGAGCAGTCTGTAATAATGTGGCTGTGCCTTTGCAAGTATGCCTTAATTATTCCTGGATGGCTTTAAAACTCCAGATTACCTATCCGAAGGAACGACCCTCACCCTCTTTTGTCGCAGCCGTAATAAAGGTAAACTCATCCTCGGGGACTCCGATATATCCACTTCAAAATCCGTAACTTTTATTTTCCACTTTCTGAAGATTTCATGTCAGCAAATGCTGTTTAATCAGTGACCCCAAAGCTTTCTGTTGAATATCAATCTAATTCTATATTGAGGAATATATCAATAATCTTGCACCGCAAAAATGTATATGATAATATTAATTGAATAAGAAATATTATATTTTCGATAAAAACAAATAAATTATACATTTTTAAATATTTGCGAATGTGTACTGATCGTCGTGTGCGGCTATGTCAGATCTATAAGGATACATATAATATTATTTAGACAATATTCGTATAAATAATGGGACAAGAGGGTGTCTTTTATATTATATATTTAAGACGAGCCGCGGTTCACAAGAAGTATGAGAATTTTGAGAGGTTTATGTGGAGGAGAAAGCAACGGCAGAATGACTTTAACATACACACTTACATAAGATATATATGCAAAATGTCGTGACTTGTGAGCTGATATGAACAGCTCCCCTACGAAAGATAGAGTGTCATTATTGTTCCGCGGGGACGCGGACTTATTCTACAAATTAAACATTAAATTTGTGACGTGAATTATTTGCGCTGTTATGCATATACTTTTGGTGGAGAGTCATGCATTTGAGAAACCCAATAGTTTCAAATCTATTCTTACCACAAGTATAAGTATAATTATTATTATTCATATAAGTTTGGAAAGTTGTTAAATTTAAGATTGTACTTACTAAAATAAAGCTTTCTATACATGATATAACGATCGAATATAGAAAGAAAATAATACATGAACAAAGATTGTATAAGAACTAGAAAAACCCCATCAATCACTATGGAAGATATTAATTTTATCATTTGGAGGATCTTCGGAGATAGGAAGAATGATGCATTGCCTTCATAATGTCTTTATTAGACTCTAGAGAGTGGGCTTTAAAAGGAGATACGCAGTAAGAATTCGAAATGAAATTTAAAATTGCTCAAAAATAAAATTGAAACATTGCCGACGTAAAAAGAAGCACATATACGAATATGGCATGAAATTGTTACTGCCGCCTTTAAAAGAGCGGGAAAATAGGTACCAAAGAGAATAATAGAACCAAGAGGAAAACGAAAAAAGAATCGCCAAACGAATTTAATTTCAGGATGAGAAAAGAAGCGAACTGTTATAGCGGAACTACGGGAAATACGCTGATTATTGCCACTGGGCTAGTAGTTTTGGCAAAGCTGAATGAGTGTGTACGTTTGAACGTTGTTTGGACAAACAATGGTTTAATCCGCATTGGGCTGCGCGCAATAATTTAGCACTAATGAATGAATTCCTTATTTGCTGTACTAATATTAATCTGAAATAGGAAAATAATGGTTGAATTTGCTGCAACGATATTTCGGGGATTAATTGATGTGGGCGGCGTATGTTTACTGGTGCGGTGAATTAATTACAGTTCTGAAACGAAATAATCACAGTCCCTGATGAAATTACGGCATCTGCGAAATGAATGACGTGACGTATGTTAATGCCATCTATCGGTAATTGATTACTTTTCTCACACACATTGTAAAATATTTATTCACACATATACGTTTCACTAGTATAACATGGTAGTAATTTTCCTAGTAATTATTTTGTAATGCGTAAACCAGTTATGTAGGAGTAAAATTTAAATCATAATTGAGTGTTATTTTGAGTATCATTACCATACATATTTCTTTAATAACTACATAACATCACCCTATACTTTTGTTGGTAAAGATTACTACTTTATCATGTTAGTACTATTGGAAGAAAACAGAACTAATGTTTTCTTCAAATTTTGAGTTGTCGTGTTACATGTTATGTGTGCATTAAATGCAATTTACTATATTTATTAGAGCGTTGCTGTTTTGTAAAAGTTCTGTCTTATTCCAGGGATGACTGTAAATAAATTTGCTTAAGTTCGAGTTTTCAAGTTGAAACGGTAAATTAAAGTGGACGCGAGCAAAGCTCCCTGCAACAATATATAAGTTAATATGGGATTTTGCGAACAATAAGAACTTTGGGAATAATACTTTCCGTGCATGCACACAATAAACGCAGGAACTTCGTGCAGTAAAACTCCCTATACGTTCTCAAATAAACTTCATTAATTACGAAAATTAATAGCGCACTCCCGGCATAATAAACGGAAAAACGCATTTCTTGACCCACTTGTAATTTAACAAAAAAATATGTTTATATAATGTTATATAAAACGCTTTCGTTACGTAGAAGTTACATAAATGCTCAAGTAATTTCCAAATTTTCTCCGACTATATCTAGTCTAGTTAAATTGTATTTTTCAGGATATAACTGAAATATTCAATACTTCTATAAGCAAATGAAACCTAATTAATATTAAAAAAAAATATCAATTGGTTGGATTGTTTCTAATAAATAAATTAAAGTAAATTATTATGTATACAGTGGAATCTCGCTTAATGAGCACCTCGCATAACGAACATTTCGCTTAACGATGAACTATAAGAAAATGACTCACTTAACGAGCGAAGTTTCACATAACGAGTGACGATGAGAAGAGAAGTCCCGGATTGTGCGCCTGCTACATCATTTTTAAAACTTGTATACACATATTATTTGTATATTTGAATATGTTTTACTATACGAGTATTTCACTATGCGAGTAAAAAACCGGAAATTTTGAAACGGATTAAACTCGTTAAGCGAGGTTCTACTGTATTTAGCTTCGTTTTGAATAATACATTCATATGGTACGAAAAGCGATCGAAAGGTAAAATGGCGATAAATAATTAAGCCCTGTTGCAGTGCACCGAGGTGATTATATAATGAAATTCTATAGAGATTTTATGTGAACAATATATTAATTAAGAACTTCCAATACGACTTCTGC